AAAAAAAAAAAACAAATCCATCTCAATTTGTATTTATATGCAAAAGATAGAATGTCAATGGTTAAAATTGAAAGAGTCTAGAAAAAATAGACTTCTCCTCTAGAGAGGACTTTTTCTTAAATATTTTTCAGTTAACAAGTGTCGGCAAAAAAATATAAAGTGGATACCATGGAGTTATTAAAGAACATTTTGATAAGTGAAATAATTTCTTTATATTATCTCTTGGATGATTTTATTAAGTTGTTTTACGTACTTTTTTATGCAGTCTCTCTTCTCCAAAAACTTTAATTAAAAAAAAATTAAAAAGTCTTTATGAGTAAGAAAAGTGACATGTATTATACTATGGTTCTTCGGACCAACTCTTTCTTGTTTCTATTTACCCCTAAATATCTCCATCTTGAAAATTACATTGAGATTTTATTCACAATTTTGCCGGTTTTACTGGTTTTACATTTTTTCTAGGTCATGTAGGTGCTCGTTCCTTCTCTGTGATATCGATTTGAATAGCGGGCTCGATTTTTATTTTTTTTAATGGCAAAATTTTGAATTTATGGTTTGTATCAGTTTGTACCTGAATTGTGTTAAATTTAAATTAGAAGTAGTTAATTAAGTCTTTTAACTTATATATTATTATCAGTATACCGTTCCCTCATATTGTAAATTAAAAAAATTATATTACTGGAGTATGGTTGAGTAAAAAAATATAGACTACCTCACTTCCCATAAGAAATAAACACATTAAGGCTCTTGATCATTGACCAAAAACTTAATTGGATGTCTTTTCTTTCCACCAACATATTAACATATACACAGCTAATAACTATACTTATTATTCAAACTAAACAAACATGCTTTCCCAAAAAGCAATAAAGCTAATACTAATAAAACCATATCCAACTGCAGCCATAAAATAAAGCAATAACGACAAACACATATATGGAACGTGAGTCAAAAAGGATATGTTAGAGCTTCAAGGTAGCTTTATATACTCCTAACACCGATTAAATTAACAATTAAAGAATAAACAAAGCAAATAAAATATTGGCGAAACGTTTTAGTAATGCTAGAATAAGAATAGTAGAACATAAGATACACTTTTATCTTGTGGACGGTGAGGTAGAGGCGGACCCAAGATTTGACGAATTCGGAATACCATGACATTTAATATAAATTTATCACTTTTTATGAAGATTGGTACGGGGACTTATACTAATATTTGATTACAATAACAATAAACCCCGTAATTTCCTACAAGTTGTATGTTAATATTTGATTATTTTTTAAAAATATTTGCAATTATACATGAAATTTTTATCGAAGTTTTCTTGTAATTTACTACAATTATACATGAAATTTCCTGTTGAAATATTTGCAACAGGAAAGATAAGATATACAATAAGAAAAAAGCCATATCAAAATTGCAAAATTTATAGTGGCATTAGTTGACACTATTGCATAGCGACGGGTGAGACATGATTCAAAGATAAAAGGGCCACACGATTTTTTGCAATTCCGTTTTGGTTTTTTTGTTCTAATAACAACTTTATGGAACACGATCCTACAAGCTATTAATTGGTGGATAATTTGGGCTTAAAGAACAGAAATATTAGCCGTGAGTTTAGATCTCTTTCTCTGATAGCTTTTTGGTGCAATATGTTTTTTTTTTACTTGTGGATTCAAGATATAGAGTTCATGTGCCTCAAGTTAAATATATAATAATAATTGGGTCCAGCGAATAATTATAAATATTTAATAAATTTTTTAATACATATATAATGTTTGGGCAAAAATTACTAAATTTCGTGAACCTATAGGTTACACTCTAAATCCAATATCGCTCCTTGCATGTGACCAAGAGGCCACGAGTTCGAGCCGTGGAAACAGCTTCTTGCAGAAATGCAGGGTAAGATTGCATACGATAGACCCTTGTAATCCGGTTCTTCACCGGACCCCGCACATAGTGGGATCTTAGTGTACCTGGCTGCCTTTTTTATCGCTCCTTGCATGATGTAGATGGTAGATATGATCGGGGACTGCACAATTTGTAACTTTGTTTCATTGCACAAGCTTAATGCTATTTTTATTATTTAATAAACTTGTTTAATATTACTGTATACAGTTAAAATCGAGTACTATTTGATCGAGGGCAGGAAATTGTATCGAAGGTCTGCCTCGTAGTGGATCAGACCAGAGCACAAAGACAAGGTATCGAGTTCGAAGATCGAGGTGTCTGTCGAGATCGAGGCCAGCAACGATCCAGACCAAATATGACAGACTTCGAGCAAAGCGCAATAACGAAAAGGCGAGATATTCATGACCGGTCGAATATCACGGCGAAAATCCCGGAACAGATCAAATCAAGGGCGATTGTTTAGGCTAATCATGGGATTTACTTTCGTAATTAGAATTGTACCATAAATAGGATTCTTTGCTATATAAAGAGGGTTCTGCTAATTTTGTAAACACCTTACATTGTCACATATCAAAGCGATACAATACCTTCTAGCTTATATTCATGTTCATCAGGTTGCTATATTTTTAACTATTCTTGCATCGATCAGTTCGAGGGTATTCAAACTCGAGGGTTGAATTCCGTTCAAATACTAGTTTGCTTAATTTTACTGTTAATTTCTATTATTACTCGTTGCATCTATCAATTTGTATTAGGTGAAATCATGTGTCCTTAAAATCACATTATAACTTTAATTGTTATCCAATTTTTAGGGTAAACAGTTTGGCGCCCACTGTGGGCTAAGGATAATAGTGACTTCCTGGTATTAATTCCCACAATACACACTGCTTTACGCTTGTTCTCGTAAGTGTCTTTGATTTCACGAATCAACATGTCAAACTCTCAAGTAGCACCCACTCACACAGACAATGGCCATGGTCTTCATAGCGAGAACGAAATTATAGTCACCCCGGGAAACGGAGTACCTCCAGTCAACCCCAACGGTCCGCCGGCCGTAGACCCAGTCGATATCAGCTCCCGTATTGCCATCAATAGGAATTAGGGCGTCTACCCTGAGAATAGCATCCACAGGGATGCTCGAGCAGCCGATCAAAATGCACAGAGCGGTGAAGAAGGCAGAATTAGCCTTCGAATGATATACGAGATGTTGCAAACTCAACAAGCTGCTATAGCACAACTCCAAAATCAGAATCGAGCACCAAGCAGAATTGAGCGTGAAACATAACAAGAAGTTATTCACAG